AACTGGAAAAGGATTTCATGCAATGTTGTTGCTGTTTACTTTCCTAACAAGCTAAGATTAGCTTCGATCTGTTGATTGCATCTTTCAAAAATTCCTCCCACTTCCCAAAGTTCTCATAAAACAGACTGGAACAATTTCCACACTGCCCTCCTCATTTTTCCAATACACTATTTATAGCCGAGTAATGTGCGCCACCTGCAAACCCCACCGAAAACGACCAGCCTACCCCCCTCATGTTTACTCCCTCACACAGGGGCCTCCAGTCACCGCAGCCTCTTCCCGTGTCCGACGATCAACATCACACCTCATTATGACACAAGAGATTTCAGTCAGCACTCAAACTCGGCTCGTTTTTTAACGGGATTTTCATTGTCTCCTAGAATAGAAGCTGGCATCTATGTCCCTGTGGCATACCGGCACCGCGGGGTCCGTTTAGTAGCTGCTTTAGAGCTTTTGATCAGAGAACCCTGCACACAAAAGTGCAAATGAACAACAACCCGGTGACACCTGGGTACACAAATAGACTTTGTTGCAGAAATGTTTGTCAAAAAAAGACACATTTGTGGTTTTATTGTTATTTGTTCACTTTTGAAATGCCCATTATCCTTTCTGTCTCAAAAAGCCGCCCTACTTAACATCCTATTCAAGCTTAAAGCAACTTCCTAAATGCAAACTAAAGCCACCAGCTACTAATGCTTATTGTAACTGGTGCTGATCTCGGTAAGTGTGAACTGAACTTTGCTTCAACAACCGACTGAACTGCAATTTCGAGACGAGACACGTTTCGATGCTTGTCACTGTTGACATTTGCTCAGCCACGAGCGCGGTGACACGTTTGCACAGTTACTCGCGGTATCGATCAGGAAGGTGCAGATTGCCAATTTACCCATTTGTTGGTGCAAATGAGGAGACAGAGTGACAAGGACACAGAAGCCGACTCACTTCCTGCCTTTTGTGTTGCACCAGTGGTACACAGAAATCAGTCCATGTTGTTAAAGTTTCATTACATCTGGACCTCCCTGAACCGTCTACAGGTGGTTCAGAATGCCTGTGCTCGGCTTCTGACCAAGTCCTCCAAACACACCCACATCACCCCGCTTCTCCTCCAGCTTCACTGGCTGCCAGTCAACTTCAGGGTTCATTTCAAGATCCTGGTTCTGGTCTATAGGGCCTTACATGGACAAGCACCATCTTACTTTGGTGATCTTCTTAGTCCCTACACCCCCAGCAGGTCCCTGAGGTCCAGAGATCAAAGCCTACTGGTTGTGCAGCACCAGGCTAAAGACCAAAGGTGACAGGTCATTTGCTGCTGTGGCCCCCAGACTCTGGAGCTCTCTCCCCCTGAGCCTGAGATCAGTGGACTCAGTGGTCTCCTTTAAAAAGCAGCTGAAGACTCACTTGTTCACGCTGGCTTTTGTATGACCTTCTTCACCTCTCTCTCTTTATTCTGCTCTCCCCACCTATTCCACCTTCCTCAGGATCCACTGATTCCCCTCTTTCCTGTTCACTCTCTCTCTTTCTTTACATTTGAATCATAATTGTCTATTTTTTGCTCATTTTAAATATATTTGTAAACATTTTCTAAATTCTTTTTTATATTTTTACATTTTTTTGCTTTTGTGAAGCGCCTCGTGATTTTCATCTTGAGAGGCACTATAGAAATAATATTTTCTTCTTCTTCTTCTTCTTCTTCTACCTTTCCATACAGCCTGCAGTAAGGCTGAGTGTTTATAATAATATGTTTAGACTTTACAATTTATCAAATAAAACTAAAATTAGTCACTGTGGTGGAAAACTATTTAGATGCAAATATGGAATCCTGAATTTGGTGTGATCTGCAAAAGTTGCAAACCCTTGCTATTGCAAGTTTGCAAGGTTATGTTTAAAAAAAAGTGTGGTGCAGAACAATTTAAGATGGAATGACAAGAATTCAGGATTACGCCATTTCCCGGAATTTGTTTATCCAGGGCAGGAGCTGTGTAAACACCTTTTATATACAGAACCTTATCACGTCTGCACCAAAATCCCTGTGTTGGACTGTATCAAATAAACAGTATTCTAGTGCAAAAACTATAACTATAAACTATAAAATGCATAAAAATGGGAGGAACTCTCTTCGGAAACAGGACAAGGTCATATTAGATCGGAAAGCGATTTAAAACTTTGACGATATGAGTTTAAATAATGTTATTTTGACTTTGTTGCATCTGAAAGCCATTAAATGTTCCCCTGGCTGGTTGTTCCATGATGTCTGGAATTATTAGCACATATTAAAGGAAAAGATTCAAGAAACATTGGAGCGTACCATGACGCCCATTTCTGAAGCGCTTATCTTTGACAGACACGAGAAGATCAATTACACTGTCCAACGTGCATCCGCAAAATAAAAAAATCAGAGACGTAGGTAATTAGCCAAACAGTCGGCCAACATCTCCCGCTATTCCCAAATTTTCCCTACAGGGTTTCCTGTACTGATCAGCAGGGGCTGATGGACCCTCTCATTACAGCGACCGCAGTTGAAAATGAGAGCAAAATGAGGCCCATTACCATGCGGGCGTGACTAATATCCCTGTGCAGACCTCTCCACACACTCTGGACACATGCACACTTATCTCACGTGCACACACAACTTGCATTTATACACACACACACACGCACAAAAGACCAGATGTGCACATTGTAATGCTCGTTATTCAATAACATTAAACAGAAACTACGACCAGAGGAAGTTGGTAATAAACTTTGGCTCTATAATATTGTCCAGATCTTGGGCTGCCCTGCGGGGGGTGTCAGGGGTCCTCCATGGTGTGTGTGTGTGTGTGTGTATGTGTTTGATTCCTATACATCATGTTTTCTGTCTGACAGCACACAAAGTTGTACCTTTTCACCATTTTTCCTCTTTATTTATTATCCTTTTCTCAATAACCTGTTCCTTTCTGGAGTATTTCATGTTTTTTGTGCACCTCCATCTCGACGGTGAACTTATTACCGTTTGTTTGACGATCATTAATCCACCTTTTGCTTCCCTCAAGCTTCAATATCCAGCTCCAAAATCAGGTCTTCCCATTTTTACAATCTCTAAATTTGTCTTTGAGTCATTCTTTTCATTTCCTCACATGACACTTTATTCCCTTTTGTAAAGCTGAAGCGATCGGAGACACTTGTCGGTGATGGTGTTGAGTTTAGTGTTTTATTTTTTTTTAACAATCCACCCAAATAATTTCATGCTCAGCTCATCGCTTCATCTGTGTTTCATTCAGACGACCTCTCGTTCCTTCTTGTCTCCCATGTTTTTAACTGCCCTCCCTCGCCTTTGGTGATCAAGTCCACTGATTGATTTATTACCATGCAACAGGCTGGTAGACGGAAGGAGGAGAGTGGGAGGGGAGGCAGACCAAAAAAAAGAGTGGTGGGGGAGTGAGCGGCGGCTGCTGGGCGTTTGAAGAACATGAAGGGAGTAATATAAAATACACCTGGTCCATCCACGGGGCACTCTCCGTTCATAGAAACAAAAGAAGGGGAGCTGGGGGGGACACAGGGGAGGAGAGTGGAGAGGGCTGGTCTGAAGGGGAGGGAGGGGAGAGAGGAGAGGATGGCGCGAGAGAGGAGGGGGTCTCTCCGCGTTTCCTTTCAGAGTGGCTTTTATGGTGTAACTTCAAACGCTGACCTCCCACACCCCCGCCCCTCAATCAACCCCGCTCCCTCGCTCCATCCATCCGTCCGTCCGCCCCTCCCTCCTCTTTCTCACTATTGTGTACGGCCAAGTGGACAGTAATTGGCTATTCTTTCATGAGCCTGATTTGGGCAGTCGGACACACACACACACGCTGATTTCTAAGAGGCAGCTAAAGGGCTTCTTCCTGTGTGTGTGTGTGTGTGTGTGTGTGTGTGTAGTAAAATTTGCCAGATGGTGGATATCAGGTGGGGGGGGGGGGGGGGGGTATGTCCTCTGGCATTTCATCCACTGTGAGCTGGAAACACTGGAATTTAAGGAAATCCCATCGGATTGAAAAATCCAATTTTTTTGGATTTCAAACATCAGTTTGTCTAAATTAGCTTGGGAATGTAGCCAAAGAGCTAAAGCACAAAGTGTGCCGGAGAAATCGAAGGCCCTAAAAAAAAAAAAAAATCCCGGCAACTTTATTCGTTTATTTAGTTCCACGGCACCGCGGGGTGGTTTCTTAGCTTATTCGTTATTAGATCAAATGTTCTGCACAAACAGACGGGAGGCTTTGGAAAGGTTTCCAACAGTTTACTACATCCGAGCATATTGTGAGTGATGTATAAAAGCCGCTTTACTCTCACTAATGACTTCTGGCCCTCTGTGGCTTATAGATCAGAGTGCGTTCATTAGTGATGCAGGCGTGTGCGAGTGTGTGTCAATTACTGGGTGGAGGGGATTAGCCATCTCCAGGGATTCCTAATTAACTCTACACGTGCAAGCAAAACACTTTTTTTTAAGATTTTTTGACGGCGTTGGCACCTTTCTGTGTGGTAGTTAACACCAGGAAGTGATGGGAGGCCGGGAGGATGAGTGAAAGGGGGGTGGGGGGGTTGGGGGGGGGGCTGAAGGCCGAATAGAGCCCTGAATGTCAAGACTCCACAGTGGCACACACACACACACACCACTTCACCATGACATACACATGCGCTACATGTGATGTACACAAACTCTTAAAAGGTTAAAGATGTTAGGACATAAACAGAGACGTACAAAGTACAGGCTAGTCTGTCCTCGCAGACGCAACGCATCAACAGAGCGGGGGATGATTGTGTTATCCGGCAAACAAAATGACCACAAAGCTTCAGAGTCGGAGCGACTTTTCCAGCGAAGCCCCCACAAGAGTTAGGAGTTCGAGAGAGAGAGAGAGAGAGAGAGAGAGAGAGAGAGAGAGAGAGAGAGAGAGAGAGAGAGAGAGAGAGAGAGAGAGAGAGAGGCCACATCCGAGAGGAAGAAGCAGAGCGGCGAGATGAAGGACTTAATACTGTAGAGTGCCTACCTCTTTGTAGTTCACCTTGGGTTCCATTCTCTTCCGCTTTCTGCCCTTCCTCTGGTGACTCCGACCGAAGAGAATCCATTTTACAACCTGCAGGAGGGCAGACGGTGGGGGTGAGGTGGGGAAGGCGGGAAAAGGGAGGTTTGTGTTGGATGAAGGAAAAAGAGGTAGCAGGAGTGGAGGGGGGGGGGGTGAGGGAGGAGAGAGGATAATCACACAGGGATCATGTGAAGATGTGTTGATGATGGAAGAGATGAAGGAGAAAGAAAGAAGGCGTCACAAGACGGAGAGCGAGGGGAAACATTTTTTAGGATTTTTCTTCATTTAAAAAGTTCACGGGATCGGATTTAGAGAGTAAAAAAAAATCTTTTTCTCTATCCAACTTTTTCACGCTCAACCAACACATTTACCCAACAGCTGGTTGAGATGGAAGCGTAAACGCCCGCTACGTCACAAGACAACATCGGCTAGTGTAAACAATGCCTCTGTTCATTCGAACCAAGTATAAAGTGGTCGTGGAAGTCTTTGTGTTCCAAAGCGTAAAAAAATCCTCCCAGGTCTGACTGAAAACAGCCTTTAAACGAAGATGAATGCATGGATTTGGGAATAAAGCCAAAACAATTAGGGAACAACATGGAAGCATTATGGGAAATCTGATAGGCAGCACAGAATGACACGCAACAGATGCACAGCGCTGGGCTCTGCACTTCACCCGGAGGCAGACAGAGACCGAGGCTAATGAGAAAAGAGAGATAAAGAAAGTGTGAGAGAGGTCAAGATAAGAGATGGCAACAAAACACTGAAATAAAGCGAGTGACAAACTCAGAAAGTGAGAAGCAAAAGAGGGAAGAGCGAGGAGCAGGGGAATAACTTGCTGAACGGGGGGAGCGGATAAAAATGAGATCCTGTCAAGCTTTGAGCAATGTTTCCAATCTGAGTCTGTCTGCCACTCCCTGAAGATGAGAAGAAGAGCCAGGGAAGAAGAGGAGGAGTGAGTGCCTACCTCTGCTTTGACTTCTTCCACCAGCCTCGCCCGTGACCACGCGGCGCTCCCTTCGTGCAGCCACTGAACGAGCAAGAGAAGATGGGAAAAGCGGTGAGCCGGAGGCAAGTGAGCAGGACGGAGCGGAATGCTTCGCAGAGGCAGAGAGAGAGCCCAGGCGAAGCAGGAAGGGGAGGGAGGGAGGAGAGGTGGGAGGAGAGGGAGGACGTGGGTGCGCTATCACTTGTTCCTCTGATGGAAACTCGCTCGTTGACTCCGGAGGAAGAGAAAGGAGTCAAAAGTGAGGGAGAAGGGAAGGAAAGGGGATGTGGAAGATGGATGAGAGGGTGGAAAAAATCAGCTGATTTACAAGCAACAGGATGGACAGCCTGTGTGCGTCCATCCACACACAAACACACTCGTGATTCAGTCACGCAAACACACACCTACGTACAGAGACGCGCACACACACACACACACACACACACACACACACACACACACACACACACACACACACACACACACACCGAGAGCTTATTACAGGCTTCAGCAGAGCCACATTCACAAGAGCAATAGTCTGTATGTTTGTGGGGAAAACAAGTAGACAGACAGAAGTGTGTGTGTGTGTGTGTGTGTGTGTGTGTGTGTGTGTGTGTGTGTGTGTGTGTGTGTGTGTGTGTGTGTGTGTGTGTGTGTAAGGAAGGCATTTACAATGTCACACTGCTTCACACAGCAGCCTGAAGCCGTTACACACACTCCACAGATGCCCCCACGCACACACTGGCTTACGCAGCATTTCAGCTACCATCGTTACCATAGCCACACACACACACACACACACACACACACACACACACACACGCACGCTTGAGTACTTCTCTATGAGTATTCCAACAGGAGTGCAGAGAACAGGGAGGTGTTGGGGTGGGCTGTATGGAACGTCGAGGCTGTAAATTGGCATTGTGTAACAGGATACCACACGTAGCTCTTTTGCTGCCCAGATCTCTGCACTGCTGTTCCCTGAATAGAAAGCTCTTTGTTTACCTCTGATTCTCTGGTCCCGTGTCTGTGCAGCGTTTCTCTTTGTGAATCGATACTGGACGGCGAGTACAAGTTACATCCGTCCATCTTAAACACACCAGGGATGTTAGTAAATCACAACGCTTGTTCTAGTCTAAGTCTTAGAGGGGATGTGAAGGCGAGGGCAGCCACTGTGATGTCAATCGCTTATTAATGTTTAATTATTTAATCTGTTGAATACAAACATGCTTTTCTGCGGTTTTCTTTTGAGAATCGCATAAATAAATATCTCTAAATTTGGAATGATTCTTTTGTTGCGGTGCACCAAAGAATCGGGTGTGATCAGAACTGGCCAAAATTCTGATTAATTGATGAGCGTCCAATCAGACTTCAGAGTTTTATCGGCGAGTCTCTGATTGCACCGTTGCCAAGCAGCAATAAAGATTTGGACATTTCTCCTAATCTGCCAGCCTGCTAACAGGCTAATTTGGGCAAACAAAAATAGATGTCCCATTTAAGAGTTTTACTTCCACCTTATTTTAATTAAATGATAATATTTTGTTAATCATAGTTGTTTGAGAAACTGATATTGGCAGAATTGACCCGTACAAGAACTGTATCAGTCCACAAAACCATACTCCCCAAATTAGCTATTGTTTCTGAAATTAAATTAATAATATACAATAAAAAAAACTTTAATTTTAATTATTATTGGTCTGATGAGACCAATTTTCTATTTTTCAACATCAGAAAAATGTTGCCGGTTCATTTTCTGCTGACTTTAAGTAAAATAAATCACTTCTGGTGATAATTTAACAAAAAAGCTGAGTTTGTCAGGATCTTCTCCTGTAGCCTCCTGTGTCTCTGGTGTCTCGTCTCCCTGGTTAGTGTTGATTGAACTCACCTGCCCCTTGTTACCCTACCCACCTGTTTCCCTGATCATCCTCATCTATTTAAACCTTTTCTTTGTGCTGGTCTTTGGCCCAGTCCCAATACTTGTACTTGCACCCTTCAAATGCGCGTTCCTGGCCAGGGGTGCGAGTGCGTAGGGTGTCCCGATTCTCAAGTGCGGAAGTTGACCACGCCCCCATTGCACCCTTAATCTGCACTTCACCCAACTCTGCAGCGATGCGGACCTTGGGCAAGGGAATTACCCACAAGTCATTGCTGCAGGAGAAATGGCTCAAGTTCCTTTTCTGAAAATATGTATTTTCTAATGAAATTAGTTCATTTCAGTTGATGCTCTGAATGTTTTAGACAAAGCAGCAATGGAGTTAAATTTATTTCAAATAATTGCTTTGTTGTTTGTTTGAAAGTAAAGGTTTTTGAAAGAAGTTTCACGGCGACCAGCATCCTGGCAGGCATTGCGATCCACGACGCAATGCTCCCCGTCTCAATTCTGCAATTATCTGCACACTTGTGTACTACACACTTGAACCCTACTGCACACTTTCTCCAAATGCACTTTGCTGAACTCCGCAGGGCGCAGTGCAAGTATTGAGACTGGGCCTTTGTCAGATCCTCGTCCTGTCCTGCTGCATCATCCTACCTACCACAATTCATATTAAATGGTTGTTTTGCCTGCCAGTCTGCCTCCTGCCTGCTGTCACATGCATTTAGGGTCCTAACTACAACTCAATATCATGACAAAGTTGGACTTCCTGTTAATTGCAATTGTAACGTGATGAAGGAACCATTTCTACCCTAACAGCCGTTTCCTTTTGACACAGTGTCAGTGTGCATGAAACAGCCTCAAGGTCAGGCATTCGCTTCTAAACTGTTTACATTCCAGCGATGAAGACAGAAGAACGAAGAATGAACTCTTTTCTTTTAATTAATCAAAGAACTCTATTTTTAATAAAGCTAATCCATTAAAGTGTTAGTCAATAGTAACCATGTGACCGATCTGTGAAATCACAATGTTATGATTAATGTTTTAATAAGTAAATGACTTATTCTAGCCACTAGACACGCTGATACACAAAGATAAATCATCATGACGCATTCCGGTCGCAGACCCAATCAGAACCTTCACGTCTGAAGCGTGCCAGAGTCTCTGTTGTGTTTATTTAATCTGTCAGCTGTGATTCGTCCAGAATCGTAAACATCAAGATTAATAAAACAGAACAACGCCATTTTAAGTTCAGTATTCAGCCAGCTCTCAAGATCCCCTGAAGTTCATCGCTAAGTGGAGTATGGACCGGCCATCCGTACTTTTACTTTTAAGCTAAGAACTGCCAAGCTGGGAAATCCTGTCGTTGTTGTCAACAAAACAATGGTTCTTTCAGAATAAAAGTTGAACTCGCTGACCCAAAGGGGGGTCCCTTTGACGCTGTGAAACACCTGTCGCTTTTTACCTGGAGACTATCCAAAGACTGGTTTGTCGTGCTGTCGACGCTGTTTCATCAGCTCCAGTACCAGAGGAGGGTCCTTGGACCTGGCAGCCTGACCTGTACGGGAGTCTCACTGACGGCTAATGTAGAGCGACACAGAGGGCGTCTCATGTTGTTTTCTGACCACGGTTCAAACGTTGATCAGTTAGGAGCAAAACATCATCTCCCACTCAGTCTCGCGTCTCCAGAACGGAGGTTCTGAAGTGGCATCGCACCAACACACACTCCACCTCACATTCCATTCCATGAGCCTCCATCACTAGAGAGTTAGTGCTGTTAAACTGTTTAAAATCATTTAGATAATACATTTTGCTTAAACGTTTGGAGGTCTCTCTCTCTTCTCTCGTCTCTCAGTTCATGCAAAGTGTTTATTTAATGTCCCTGTAATAAAAAGAACCACTCTTCTGATTTAAATAGCCCAGTGTCCAGAGATGGGGTCCATACTAGACATGGATCATTAATATCTCTGGTCATTAATTAAAATGTAACTAATTAACCTCCTTTACACATGTGAATGTGAGCACATAAAGTTGAGGGAAAGTTATTTCTTCTTTGTTAGGATGGAAAAGTGATGCGTTTCTTGACTTTAACTGCAAATCTTAAAAGAAAATTTCAATAATTTATCTGTGAATTCAATGCCGTTCGGCGAGCCTCAAATAAAAATTTGGGCATCTTACTGTAAAAAAAAATACAATTAATGTAAAAAAGAAACTCTAAATGAACTATGATCACACCCAGAATCGAACCCAGGTCTTCTGCATGGGAGTCAGACATCTTACAAGGTGAGCTACACTCTAGTAACATTCACAGTATCTGTAACTTTTATATCCTTGATGACAGCTGAAACAACGTTCAAAGAACGGTTCGGAGCGAAAATGGCTATTTTGTTGCTAATTTACAGGAAATATCTAGAAGAAAGTTCTACAGAAAGTAGCTAAGGGTCCTCAGATATGTAGCTAGCTTTGTCACTAGGCGTTAGGAACAGCGACAAAGTGGCACTGCCTCTCTCTCTGCTGCTAAAGCTACAGATAGCAAATGCTACGGGCTATGCCTGAGCGTGAACGCGCATGAAGCAGCCTGCTCGACCCGAGCATCTCTCTTTTTCTGTGATTTTACAGAAAAACAGGCAATCACAGTAAAAATGCCAGGGCTCATTCTACAGGACCAGGGCATTGCAGGAGAATGTATGAAGAAGACATTTATTATTTCTATACATGTTTTGGCTGTCAGACTTCCATAATGCCCCTTTAAGGGTTCTTGGGTTTATGCTTTATATAAACTCCATGAGCTTTTAGCGACACCAGAACTAAAATAAAAGCACTACTCTGTGGCAGCAATGGAAAGTAAAGCGTAAAGTGAAACAGTGCCTAATTTTTCACAATCAAATGTAAAGAGAGGCAACTAGCGAAAAACCTGTTGTCGTAATATTGTGCAAAGGTTAAAAATGTTCTTTTCTAAAGACTTCATAAAAAAGCCACCATCCAGTTCTATTATATTTTATTTCAAATCAAAAATACTGTAATAATACTCTAGCATCATATTTTTCTCTTGTCTTCTGATCTTTGTCAGTGTTGCACTATATTTCAATGAGTTAGTTTGAAAGAAGCAAAAAAGCTAACTCTTATTTCATGGCCACATTATGCAGCCCTGCATAAAATATGAATAATTTAGTATTCCAAATAACTATTTGGTAAAACATGTTTAGAAAACTTTCACTAGTATTTCATTTTCAGGGCTGCAAACACAGCAGAGCTGCTATTTTGAGGAGGTTTGACAGTCAACAGAGAAAGTTTGAGGAATTGAAACTTCTTCCATAAAAGTTTGCTCAGGTTTAGCTTTCGAGAGAAATCCAACTCCTCTGCCTGGAAAAACAGTCCAGACTGACTCTCGCTTACACACGGATGAGTCTGTAATATTCACTGTTTATTATTAATCTACACACAAATGTTCATGATTATTAGAATGGAGCAGGAGAGAGGAGGGAAGACAGGGAATTGGACTAAAAGTTCGGGAAAATCAAGCGTGCCCTTTATTTAAACACCGTCTCCGAGTCTGGATCCATCCTCCCAAAGGGAGAGCTTACTCATCTAAACCCTAAAATAGGACTTCTCATTCCACACGTCTTTCTCTAGGATCGGTGAATGTCATTGTTTATTATTAGGCCAAACCATTTCCTGCCTTTCTCCAGCTCAGGCACATTGTAGAGCAGCAGCTGGGAGGCAGAGGCGATAAAGAGAGGCACGCAGATAAAGGAGGTTTTTTAAAAAAAAATGCGAGTGTGTCTGATGTAAACAAAACACAAGGAAAAAGAAAGGTTTCAATCGATCCGGCTGCTCCACTTAGTCTGTGACTGGCACATCAAAACGTAATGTAAATAAATAAATAAATAAATAATAGCCTGTGCAAAAGCACTCAGCCATTATCCAATCAGGTGGAAGAGCACGGCGGCCCCTCAACGCCGGCGTCCTTCCCACCCTCAGAGGGCCCCCGAAAGGCTCCGGTTACACCAACGCATATTCTAGAAGGTGCAGGTTCCCAGAAAGCAAAGCACGCATGCATGCGTGCACAAAAAAATGCACATGTTCTGAGCGGTAATTAAGATGGGTTAGCATAGAAATGTGGGGATTAAAAAGCTGTTCGTGTGTGTGTGTGTGTGTGTGTGTGTGTGTGTGTGTGTGTGTGTGTGTGTGTGTGATATTCTGGAAGCGATAGAACAGTGACTAACTCGATATCACAAAAATAATCTGTTTTTCAGGAATCCTGCATTAATGCAAAAAAAAAGTCACCTGAGCTGCAGGAACATTGTCCTTTTTGTAACGTAATTCCCCTCAAACAGTTGGGAAATGTCTTCCGGTAAACGGTTACGCGCCATTAAGCTGAAGCGTATTTATAGATCCTGTTGTTTAGGGGGCATCGTTTGGATTATGAGGGCTGAATTGCACAGCTGTTTACAGCTGTTCAATACGTATGAATGTTTGTCATCTGTTAAAAGGTTTACAACTGTGTGATTCAATGTTTTACTGTAACACATGCAGTTTTTGGACATTACTGTGCACCTAAGCAGCATTTTGCAATTTGAATTTTCATTCATTTGTGAGGAAACCTTCAGAAAGACACTTCGTACCTCTGGAATTCCCGGCCGATCGAGCCAGTTGGCGTAAATACCCCCGAGGGTGAGGCTTTTTCTGGAAAACAATGGCACAAGTGTTAGTTTTATTTCCATTATTGCGACAATGCTTGTTATTGAACAAGATGTTTGGTTTTTTTTAAATAGGAAAAAAAACACAGGGAAAATGTTTGGGTTGTGGCAGACAGGAGTTTGGGCATGAGGGGGCACACCCACGTTTCTATACAAGATCATGCAAACAGGTATGCGCGAACAATGCAGTGAGTTTACACATATGTGTGTGATGCAAACACACGTGTGCATATGCACAAGAGCAGCCAGCGAGAGCCACAAAAACTCTCAAATACCACACGCAGCGTCTCTGCTGTGACAGAAGTGACTCGCAATGACAAATGTGTGCGCAAACATTCCACAAGCAGTCAGCAGTAAGTATGTGAGCTGTAAAGCACACACAGAGTAGAAGAGTAACCACGTAGCATACCCTTCACCACACTATCAATCTTCCTGACTAGGATTTAAAAAAAAACATTTGCCTCTTTCCTGCTCTCAAGCTTTTACAGCATACCATGACGCTTGGTCCATTAAAGAGGTCATTTTCTAATAAAATGTTCTCATTTGCATTTTTGGATCCTCGTTTTTCCTGAGGTATGCTCGTCTAACTGCAGCTCAGTTACTGACTTCATTCATTTGGGAAACATATTCCAAAGAGTCTGTGCTCCTTACGCTGACTTGCAGCACACTGCATGTTTGCTAAGACGCTCATAAAGAGTCCAGATCTTGTGCAGTAAAATATAAAAATTCTCTTTGGAATATAAATTTGTAATCATGCATTTGGAAAACTCTAATTGAAAACTCTTCTAGAATCAGAGACTTAAATTAGACGTCTACAACTTTTTTTTTTTTTTTTTTGCAAAAGCTTGTTGTTAGCATGCATAACACACAAGTGTGTAACCGCAAATGTGAATATGTGCATACAAAGACGGACACACCGTTCATAGTGCGTCTAAAATAATTTGTTGGATGCTCCTCGCTCCTTAAACACAGGCTGATCTCTCGCTCATTTGCTAATATTTTAGAGACAGGTTTGTCTGAAGCTCACAGACACATTTTCTTAAACTGCAGAGAAATTAGAGGTTTCGCTAAAGAAAACATTTAGATGTCACCAAGAAGAGCGGAAGGTCAATTTGGAAATAGTCTTTCTTTTGCAGCAGCAAGGGGAAAAAAAGACTTTTCCTGTTCTTTTATGCTCAGACTGATAAAGTTTTGCAGTTTGTTAGCAGCATTTCACTGGGATGGAACTGCTGGTGACAAAACAGAGACTCTCAGCCGAAACCCAGATGAACTGGCTTAAGCCGGGCGGACACTGTGCGACTTTTTCACTCGTAGCACTCAGCTTCAGCTCAAACTGTACGACTTCCTCGCAGGGCAGATCTCACAAGCCATGCGCTCACACTGCACGACCCAGTTCTCGGATGCGACCTGACTGCTCACACTGTACGTCTGGTAGCAACACATCGGCCCTAAAAATATGCTAAAAATAGCAGTTTTTACTCAACACGTCAGACTTTTTTGTCTTGTTTTGCCTGTTGTCCTTCGGGAGTGCTGCAGGAGGACACACAGGGATTTATGGGGGTTGGATCAGGAAAACGAAATAAAGAAAGTAAATCTGTGTTTTGTGATCAGTTTAATTTGACATGAACACGACAAACACGCTTTCTTGGCAATCTTTGTGAGTAAAAAAACGTGTAGAAACAAAAACGAACAGCGTGTGTTATTAGGGAAATAGCGGGCGAGCGGCGTTGATGCAGGATTGCGCCGTGAGCGGTTCTGGTACTTTTTGGGTCGCAGCTGCTCGCAGCGCCGCTTCAACAGTGCGATACCCTCACGAGGGACAAGCGAAATATTAAACACGCCAGAAGTCCGTGCGAGCTCACTATTGCTGATCGGTAGCTGGTCACGTGGTGTTAATCGCCTCTCGTAACCCCCGTATACTACACGACCGCTCGGCTCAAAACTCGCCCCGATCTCGTGGATTCTCGCACGAGTGGAAAATCGGCTCAAAAAAGTGAAAAAGTCGCACAGTGTAAGCCCGGCTTTATACAACACATCCTAACTTATTTTTTTCATATACATGTCAAGAGGGTCATCCTGCATTATTTTTTTATGTTTGGCCATTATCTTCTTTCAAAATCATCTCACATGCGCAGAACTTCGTAAACTTTACTGTGAGGCTGTTGACATTGGATCCAGATTCCAACATTTATAGGAGAAAAAATTTGAATATTGTGCAAAAGTTCATTTATGTCAGTAATTCACATTAAAAGGTGATATATGAGACGGACTCATTCCATGCAAAACCAGATATTTCACACCTTTATTTGTCATAATTGTGATGATTATGGCTTACAGCTTACGAAAACCCCAAATTCAAAATCTCAAAATGTAAATATTGTGAAAGGATTAAATATTCTAGACTTGAAGAATCACATTCTAATCAGCTAATGAATCAAAAACACCTGCAAAGGGTTCCTGGGCCTTTAGATGGTCTCTCAGTCTGAGACTGGACTGTTGACATAAATGGACTTTTTCACCTATAGAATGACTCTGCGAATATTCTGGAAGAATATTTTGAATATGTCCAAATTCTTGTGTGACAATTTCAGAAACCCTTTGTCAGTTTTAAAACTCCCTGATAATTGTGGTTTTTCACCAACAATACTGATATTAATGGTCGCTGTTGGCATTAAAATGCAACATCGGAAATTATCGGCATCAGTTTTCATTCTGTTAATGACACAGCTTTTACATACCATGCTCATATTATGCATCAAACTCTTCAAACTTCTCTCGTCTCACTCAACAAGTCTAACTATTACAGATCTGAGGTTTAGTTTTTGAGATATATAGTCAAAGTTAAAGCCCCACTAGTCATCATCACACACTTATGAAATTACATACGCATTTGACTCATCCCTGTGGGGAGCGGTGAGCTGCAGCTGTGGCTGCACTTGGGAACTATTTGATGATTCAACCCTCCAATCCAGCCGTTTTAAAGCTGAGTGTCAAGCAGGGAGGCATTGGGTGCCATTTTTAACCCTCCCACTGTTTTCATGGGTGACCCCACAAAGAAAGTTGACCATTGAGCAGGGTTGATGGTTTATCCCTTGAGGTCCACGTAGCAGGGGTGAGGAGTGAGCACCACCTCACCCCTGCCAAGTGGACATCACGGGATAAACCATCAACCCTGCTCAATGGTCAACTTTCTTTGTGGGGTCACCCATGAAGACAGTGGGAGGGTTAAAGTCCCGACCGTATCACCCGACCGGGATTTGAACCCAGATCTCCCAGTCCAGGGGTGGACACTCTATCACTAGGCCATGGACTTTTATTTGTTTGGTGTAACTGGTGAAATCAAAGTCGTTATCAGATTTTGCACAAATAAAGTCTAAAATAAAAACAATTGCATGATAGGAAATATGTAATGCTAGTTACCTGTAATTGAGTTTTTCTTTTGATTTAATGGGGTTGGACCCCGCAAATATATTGGTATTGGTTTACATCGGTATCGCAAATCAAGAGTCAGATTACATCGGTGTATTGGATAATTAAAATTTAAAAAATCTAAAGTAAAATTGGAAGAAATTAAACTACTTGTTTAGAAAATAGAGTCTAATTAAATTAAATCAATAAACATGACAAATTCTTTCTAACACTTTCACTTCAAATATATTGGTATTGGTATTGGTTTACATCGGTATCGCAAATCAAGAGTCAGATTACATCGGTGTATTCGATAATTAAAATTTAAAAAAATCTAAAGTAAAATTGGAAGAAATTAAACTACTTGTTTAGAAAATAGAGTCTAATTAAATTAAATCAATAAACATGACAAATTCTTTCTAACACTTTCACTTCAAATATATTGGTATTGGTATTGGTTTACATCGGTATCGCAAATCAAGAGTCAGATTACATCGGTGTATTCGATAATTAAAATTTAAAAAATCTAAAGTAAAATTGGAAGAAATTAAACTACTTGTTTAGAAAATAGAGTCTAATTAAATTAAATCAATAAACATGACAAATTCTTTCTAACACTTTCACTTCAAATATATTGGTATTGGTATTGGTTTACATCGGTATCGCAAATCAAGAGTCAGATTACATCGGTGTATTCGATAATTAAAATTTAAAAAAATCTAAAGTAAAATTGGAAGAAATTAAACTACTTGTTTAGAAAATAGAGTCTAATTAAATTAAATCAATAAACATGACAAATTCTTTCTAACACTTTCACTTCAAAGCCTTTATTGTCATTGAACAGTTGACTGTGCAATGACATTGTGGTCGGCACTTCAGGTACGCTTAAAAACAAATAAAACAGGAGTAAAAAATGTCTAAAAACACATATTCAAAAACAGCAGCCTGGCTCAGTGGCAGATCATAAATAACAGTAGCAGTTTACTTGTCTAGTCTTATAATTATTGTCTGGAGAGTTTGTTTAAAGAACAATCTGGACTCGTTACTATGACTCTCACTGGTTAGTACTTTAATCCTAAAGCCTTCTAGTCCTTTGTGTCGTTTACTGACAGAAGCATCACATCCAAATATTGACTGTGCCCAACTCACTCGGTTTAATTCAATCAATTACTGCTTGTCCAGCGGCACTCACCGCAGGACAGGAAAGCCAAGAAAACAACATTCAGAGCACACAAAAGGTAGACAAGGAAGAAGGGGGTCAGTGGAGAAAAGAGGGGGTTTAAGTTGGGCGAGATAATGTGAAAGTACGAGGTAGGAGAGAGAGAGAGAGACATGCACGAAGAGGTTAATGAGGCAATCAGGAGAGATAGAGGAGTGAATGATAAAGCACACGCAGAGAGGAAGAGAGAAAATTAGAGAGGAGGAGAGCAGGAGGAGCAGTTATCCTTTTACACTTCAATTAATATGAGAGAGGAAGAGACCGCTCTGTTAACAGGATTGGTGTTTGGAGCTTTTGTTGGCCGTGTTTCCGCTCCGGGACCGGACCGGTCAGACAGCACATCACCAAAGGCTCTTTTATTTGATGTCAATAAAATATCATCACATCAGAATGGAAGAAAGACAGCCTTATGGCACTTTTGAAGACACAGAATTTTTATGTTGTGTAGTTTTGGATTAGGATTTTTTTTTTTCACTTAAATAAACCAGCAAAATTCATCCATAAAAATTCTACAGCAAAAAATTAAATCAGAAATTCAACAGCAGCAATTCCACCAGGTGACCTCCTGGTGATGCGAGTCAAAGTAACCGTTACTCGATTTGAGTCGAGCGGCTTTTAGCCAATCGAATTACGCTTCTCTGATCATGTGACACCGGTGTGGCGTCGACTCGATCAAGTGACGATTACTTTGGTCACCAGATTTGTTGTTGAATTATTGCTGTTGACTTTCTGATGCACAATTTTAGCAGCTAAAATGACGTATTTAAAAAAATATCAAATACATTATTTCACAGAATAAACACTCAGTGTCATGAATTCAAAGTCTAAACAAATTCATATTCAGGTGAGACCGTATTTCTCCCGTTTGTCAGCTGGTAAGAAAAAATAATAGTGAAAAAAATCCATTCATAAACACCTCTCTCGACAATAACCAGATTATTACCGCTTTAGAGCGCACAAAGACTGATTTTATACGCACCTTTCCATTTGGGGAAAGGTAACCAGGAACATTTGGAGGAAATCCTGTTCAGAAAGAACAGAAACAGCAGGAATATAAGATAAAATGTGACCTGTGGGAGGAAGAGGAAAAGAGACGAAGGCATAGCTGATCTTTAGTCAAGTGTGCAAGGTCAAACAGTGTTTATGTTGCATCCATTATTTAGAGGGAAGATTCAATCTGCTGCAGCAGAAAAAGGAGCCAGGTGGAACGCATCACACACACACACACACACGTCCAGGTGTGATCAGTCAGCATGGTTCTCCCCAGACTAAACTCAGAATAAAATCTGAGATTTTGCAATCTCCCACTTGAAACACTCTCACCTGAGATAAAATAAGCTGTCCGTGATATTTTCTCACAAATAATCTGAAAAAGTCAACTAGCTGCTGCTCCCCCACTTCACTGGCCAAGAATTTCAGGAGGAAATAGCCCTAGAAAAACCAAAATGGGACAAAAAAACATGGTATTTCTTGAAATTAGAAAGAATCTTATTGTCCTTTCACTTCCCGTCTTTAACACAACAGTCTCTCACCTTGAGGTAGTGGACTTGCATGAAGGTTTTGTCAGGGTTAAGGGCGTGTTTAACCGTCGAGGAGCCCGAGTCACTGACCTGACCAGTCCTGTCCATGTTGGGTCTGCAGAAAGAATCAGAGCAAAAACAGTATGGCACTGGAGAGCTCGGGTACAGATTTATCTATTTTTCCCAGACAAATTCTTTTCAGTTGCAGGAAACAGCATTTTCAACAGAACAAGAGAACACCGTCAGCAACATAAACTCCAGGCAACCTCTCAATGGTGAACACATTGCCAAGTTGCCATGCCTTGCCAGAGGCAGGCTCGAAATCAATCCGCAGATTTATAATGGAGTGGTATAGTTTTAATGCGACCTCGCAGCACTGGGCTCCGACTTTGCTGCCCACGAGTTACGAAGCAAACATACAACACTAACACAAGAAAAAAGGAGAAAAGAAATACACGCTCGACTAAAAGCACAAAGAAGCCACGCTCTAGATTTCACTTACGCTGTCACCCAGACAACAAATCGTGCCCCGGACCTCCACAAACACGCCAACAAACACACGTAAAGCCAATAAAAGCCTCGCAAACAAAGCCCCGACATGGGACGTTGTGCAATGATAGTTTCAGTTAGCTGGTATTGATCAGGATGAGCAGATTAACTCGGTGTGCCAATAGTAAGGCCTTGAAGGATCACCCTCCTACTGAGTCGATACCGCAGGCGCCTGGCCCACCAATCAATAGACCCTTCATCACTGGCTAGCACTCTTCCACAGGACCACTTTATGACAAGATCAGACACACACACACACAGAAAAAGAAAACAAAGCAGGGATTCATAGGTGTTGCATGGCCCCAGCGTTTAATCTTTAAAGTATATCTACAGGTGTGAGCTACAGCTCGGTCAAATATTTATTTGTCCAGGCGTTGGGAGGAGAAGATTGGAGATAAAGCTGGTAACTTGAAAAAAGAAGTGTGGGAAAAATCAAGGACAGGAGGTAGACGATAATGTTGGTTTGTTGACTAGACTGGGGAAGCAAGTCATCCGCTTCCTGGAATTTCTCCATCCAACTGGACACTCTTACAAGGACTTCGATCAAGTCTGAAAGGGTGTGTTTCTGCTTGAGTACGCATAGAAATGAAGATTCTGTGAACTTTTGCCAATATTTGTCAGAATCCTCCATTCTAAGTATCCTCCATTAGAGAGTGGTAAATGGTAAATGGCCTGTATTTGATATAGCGCCTTCTAGAGTCCTGGAACCCCCCAAGGCGCTTTACAACACAATCAGTCATTCACCCATTCACACACTGGTGGGGATGAGCTACAATGTAGCCACAGCTGCCCTGGGACGCACTGACAGAGGCGAGGCTGCCGAGCACTGGCGCCACCGGTCCCTCCGACCACCACCAGCAGGCAACGTGGGTTAAGTGTCTTGCCCAAGGACACAACGACAGCGACAGACTGAGCGGGACTCGAACCTGCAACCTTACGATTACGGGGCGAGCACTTAACTCCTGTGCCACCATCGCCCCATGAGAGAGTGGAAACTGTAATGCTGAGTTAAAGCCTACTTTTACTTAACTAGCTCTGGAACAGTAGTGGTATTTTTATAATCTGATTTCTGTCCACTGCCCGTAGAGCCAATGCCAGTCTGTTATTGTGATACGATTTTTTTAAAGGCCCCTTTAAAGGAAGCGGAAAACGCTCCATCTCCGAGGGTGTGTTTGTATGGAGTGGGGTCAGACAGAGAAAAAGGACCACTAAGAGGAAAAACTGGAACCCAAGAAAGTGACGGCAAATGCATTTGCATAGAAAACTGGTCCATTCTGTGCTCCAGAGACATCAGCAGCACATCACATAGAGGAAAAATGACGATCCATCATGCTGTGTTGCAGAGAGTGGCTCCACCCTTCTTTGTGTTGCAAATAAATGTGTAAATCCCCGGCTTTCTGCCTCTTTTTATCAGAGATGTTTAACTAAAGCTTAAAGAGGAATTGCCGTATTGGATGCCTCACAATGGATCGGTGTATTTCAGAAGAAGCTGACTTGTCTGTTTGTGCGTTTGTTGCCGCGTGTACATCTGGTTGTGGCCAAAATTGAGAAGGGGAGAAAGGGCGAGAGGAAATCGGGAGCTATTACTGATAGAACCTAATGCCGAACACACACACACACACACACACACACACACAAGAACACAAACACAAGAGGTTTATAGCTCCGCGAGCCATATCCTGACAAATTACGCTGGGTTGACTGTGGAAACCGGATAAGGTAGAGGAGCGCTTCCAGCAGCCCAGTAAATCAGCAGGGAGAATGGCGTCTGGCCCAGGCTGCCCTAAATATAACTCATCTGAAATGGTCTGATAAACACCGGCCACTGGGGCCCCTGCTGGATCACAGGGTGTCGATTGTGACCCACTGAACTTGAAAAGAACAACCTGACACTAAGCCTTTGTGTGTGTGTGTGTGTGTGTGTGTGTGTGTGTGTGTGTGTGTGTGTGTGTGTGTGTGTGTGTGTGTGTGTGTGTGTGTGTGTGTTTACAGGTGCATTTCTTATCTACATTTGCACCAATCAGCCATACCATTACCATCCCCGACAGTTAAAGCAACAGCGCTCATCACGCTGAAGACATTTTGCTGAAGGAACCTGCATCCTAGCACTCAAATAGATATTACTTCAACACTTGTTACCTCTAAACGCCTTTGCAGACCAATCACAGCTTCTCCTCTAGTAACAACCGAATCCAAATATAAAAACTGGGATCCATCTGCAAACATCTATATGGTTTATTTACTGTTCCAAACAAAAGCTCCTGATGTTTCCACTTCTGTTGTTATCATTCTTTAATTAAGACAGAAAAAAAAAGCATTTCTACAGCGTTGATTTCACTTTAATGTCATTCTAATCTTCATGAGAGCCTTGCTGGAAATAAATTAACTATAATCTGATGGTAATTACGAGGGAAACGACTTCATTCAGAGTAAATAATTAGTGCTTTATTGTTTAGATAATTTTGGTTTTCCATGAACATATAGAATATTGAATGCTGTGGTGACATTTTGTATTGCTGCATGCACAGCTGATCTGCTGAGCACTACGGCCCCAAAGGTTTTTATTTTATTTTATTTTCCATCTAATGAGCACTTAATTGGGTTCATATTTCCTGGAAAGTGCATGGAAACATATTAATAAGCCATCTTGCAGAATTTTTAATTAAATAAAGCTTCATAATCATATTCTACACCGATGTTAGGTCTTGATTAATGAATGAGTGTAGAAATAAATAAGGTATTTAAACACTGTGTGAGCAACCTTTTGTATGCCTTATGTTTTCAACTTTTATCAAATCCACCATCTGGATTAATAAGATAGATTTAACTGAATTTAACTGATTTATAATATCCATTCATTGCTATTTTAACACTCCAGAAATAAAACCACATCCTCACAATCCTTCTTGCAGGGAGACACCCTGATTAATGCTGGAGTACACCATATACATTTTTCTAATCACTTTAAAGATGCTTAAATATGTAATCAAGTATGTAATCTTTCAGAATCAAAATTGCCTCCAAGTCCCTCTTCTGGCCTCTACAGCTAAACAAATGATTTATGTGAGTCTAGAGCACTGACCAATACATTTGCGTACCACCGAAAATGCTACCCAGTTTATGCTACGGGTGCCGCTGGAAAAAGAGGTTTCCAATAGAGCAACCATGAAGCCTGGGGCACACAGAATGTGCTGCGCCGCTGAGCGCTTCTTGGAAAGTCGCGTGATAGTCACATCACGCCGGACTTGAGAACAGGAAGCGAGAAGTGACTCTATTGTTTATACGTGATCAGACTCTCCGTCGTGTTTTGTGAGAATCTAATTCATTAACAGTGGTTAAGTACGCTATTTATTAAAATATTTTAAGATCAAAAGTACTTTAAAGTTACCAAAACTGTGGTTGGGTTTGTGCCGTAAAGCCGTTCCACGCAGTAATGTCTGTTGTAAAGTACTATGTCGTAAACAGCTCCGTCGCTTGAGATTGAACTGGCGCCTATCTTCAGTGCCTTGGCGCTTCTGGGATGCAGCACTGTGCTCCCCATGTGCCCACTCTCATTAAAGTAACAGTGTGTGATTTTCCTAGCGATAGGGGGCAGTAGATACCGAAATCATAGCAATAAAACGGTGTTTTTGTGGTGGAGGAAGACCTTACCAACAGATCCCTATTAGGGTCAAAAAGCCCTGGGGAGTGCAAACTTCAGCTAAATAACGAGCACATCAGCACAAGACATAAATGTGTAAAATACCAACATTTAAGAATAGTGAAAGTTTTGTAATCATTTGTTACAAATCAGCAAATGCATTTTGTCCTCATGGGCTCCCGTAGAAGGAAACATAATATGGCGTCGCCCAGAGACTTGGACCCACTCCCATGTTTTTTAGACCTGATTTTTATGATTATATGTTACGAAGACGCCAATATTTTTCAACAAGTGGGCATCATTTAATTCATTTTCAACAACAATTTGATGTATATTTCCAGAGATTAATGGTAAAATCTACACATTGTCTCTTTAACTATAATGGCTTCTATTTAAAAACGCCTTCAGTGTGCCCCAGGCTTAACACCTTCTAATTCTCTAAGAAAATGTAAACAGTTTAAAAGTGAAACTTTGTTGTGAGACGTTTACAGCAGTTGAGTAGAATTTGCATCGGAGATGCTTTTGAAAGGTAGACGGAGCTTTGTGATCTACAGAGCTCCAAACTGGCAACGTTTCTTTTGCACAGGTAAATACTAAGTAATTAGGTGTATTGTAGAGAAGTGATGAATAAAATAGTGCAAATATTTTTGCTGCATTTACTGTAGACTGATATCGCGCTATCTTGAATGCTAACTCGACTTGCATTGATTAATGTCAGTATATAAACTTCAAGCTACAGATTTATCTTTTGTGCATTCACGCTATCGACCTTACATCACTTTCCCTGTGCATGTGTTGTCTGAGGTGTGGCTTTCAGCTCTTTCCAAAAGAGGAGGGGGTGCAGTGGTGGGATAGCCTACTAATCTATCCCAAGTGATGCAGTAGCAAAAGATTTAGCTCTGCAGGTCGGTCTAGCCACGCTCCAC